GCCTGCTCGGGCCACTGTGCGCTTTTACTGTGCCACTGTTGCGCGGCTTCGACAATTCGTTGCTCCAAAGTAGAGGAATTTTCGTAAGCATTTCCTGACGCCGCTGCTTATTCTTCTTCTTCTTTTCATACGCTCGTGAAGCATGACTTTTTGAACGCTCAGCTTACGCTCAGTTGGTAACGGGATATTGAATAGAATGCACGTGCAAGACGGTTAAACGCTTTCAAAGCGCGTTCTGTGTCAAATTTTTGTGTGGAAGGAAGAAGAGGAAGTGAAAAAAAAAAAATTTTATGAATTGTGAAAGTGAAAAAAGTGCACAGCACTACTATTACTATGGACACCCCCACACATATACATATTTCTGCATTAGTGGTCGGAAGCATAGCAGCGCATTGAAGGATGTCTTAGATGAAGCATAACTACCATTGTGGCTGCTGTGAATTTGTGTAAGCGTCAAAAGCAAGGTGAGCATGAGTTCCCAAGTTGTGCGACATAGAAACGAAAGAGAAGTAGTCTGCAGAAATTTAGAAATTGGAATAAACTAAAATCCGTTTGCGTAAAAAAAAGAGAAGTGCTAAATTCTAAGCAATGCTGCAAAGCGACCCAAAAACCACACTAAAGTTGACTGCACAAATCAGCCGAAAATCGTTGGTTTTACGAGCAATAAGAATATACAAAAGATAATACACACGTATGTACATATGTATATCCGAGTATATGTATGTGTGTATGTATGAAAACGAAAACAACCAAAAATTCGCTGCCAACAACGGTTATTGTGCCAATTTGTTATTGCCATATCAGCGTTGTAAGCGGCAATTTGTTGTGTGGTAGTGAATTAAAGAAGGTCCTTCGCTTCGTAAGATAGCAGCTAAGTGCCACTAAAGATAAATATATATGTATGTATGTATGTGGTTGTGTAGGTCTTTTATTATTTCAAATTATGTTAGCGCCGCTGTGCGTTGATGTGTGAAAAATCAACGCCAAAAATCAGATATTTTTCAGAGGTTTAATGAGCTAATTAAAACATACGCACATCCGCCCAAAATTTATAGACGACAATGACCGTTAATGCGTATATTGTTACTGTTACTGTTGTGTTTTTTTTTATTTATTTTTTTTCTTGTTTTTGGCTGTCGTGATTGTTGATGTTTTTCTAGTTGCGTGTGTTTGTTGCGTGCATGCTGTTTGCAATTGATGGCAAGGCCATCCGCACACATTGTGGCCACAGTGATTAGTTGTTTGGCGAAAAACAGTGGCATAAATTCAAGCACAAATACATACATACAAACAGGTGCACGTATGTATGTACAAATAAACGCCCTGCATTAGTTCGTAAATATGTATTTATGTACGTACATTTCACGCTATGATTTGTTCACTGTATTCGCCTATTTGTGGCCTTAATACAAAACCAGCAAACTTATGAGGTAGTGGCATGGCCCACAAAGCAAACCCCACCAAACCCCAACTACAAAAACCACAAAAAAGCAAGTACATATAAGAGAAAATTTCATACAGCTTCAACCCATCTTCACTTGCATTTACCAATACTATGTGCAGACACAAAATCATAGGCGTCCTACGCTAAAACCCATTAAATATACTAGATATGTACATACATAAATTTACTTGCTCGCCTATTTGGATGCCTATTTGCTATCACTGCTTGTCAACAAACATCCAGCCACACAGCCTTCGAGTTCTATCCTAAACTTACATTACCTACACCTTCTCAGCCACACAGCAGTCAACAAGCAAGCAAGCAAGCCTCCACAAGTATTCCCATCTTAACGCAACGCAACACATCGCATTCCATTCCTACCATTTCATTCCATTCGTCAACTCAAGTCAAGTTGATGCTTCTCTTGGTGGTTCTGTCGCTGGTGCTGCTACTACCAAAATACCATTGCGATAATAATTCTGTTTTTTTTTCTCTCGAGCTGTTATGCTTTTCCTTGTTGCGGTTGCTTTTATTATTGCTCTCGCTAAATTCTTGTTGTTGCTGTTGTTGGCATTACCGATGCTTCGGTTTGCCTTTTCACTTGTGCGTATTAAACTGTGTCAAAGTATTGGTTTGATTTTCAGGACATCTCCCTATTGTTGCGCTGCTCAGCCCACATTTAGAGATGCCTTTTTACCACTACCCAATTTGCCAAACGACGTCATAACGACGTCGTTTCCGACTCGTTCTGGTGAACAATTTGTTCGCCGGCAACGGTCGCAAACGACTCGTGAAAAGCACAGTTCGCCGGCGGATCGCAAAAACGATATACCAGCGAACTGCAAAACGTTGCTCAAAATTTATACTAAATTTAAAGTAAAGTACAGGTTTATACCAAATTAAAAAACAAAAAAAACAAGTAAGAAAGTCTAAGTTCGGGCGGAGCCGAGCATTAAATACCCGGCGCAAGTATTAAATATATGCTTTCCACCTTTCCGAAAGCTACCGCTACATGGCTACCCCCTGGCTGTATCAATTTTGAGTAAATTAGCGTCCTTAAATTTCGAAATATTCAAGTTTCAAGCATTTCTGAAATTTATCGTTATATGAAATCGGCCTCAATTTTAGTCCTGCTTTAATGCGGCAAGCACAATAACCACACCAATTTTGGTACAAATTGGTGGAACGGTTACCGAGATACATATATGTGGTCATAAGTGGGCGGTGCCACGCCCATTTTCCAAAATTTTATCCTAAACGTATTTCTTGGTAAAGAATTGTTGCAAGCATCAATTTTGAATAAATTAGCTTTAATATTTACTGATATATCAAAGATTTCGTATTTCTCTAAATTACCGTTATATGGGACGTGGGCGTGGTTATTGTCCGATTTGAATAATTTTCGGCCATTTGGTATGCTGTACCAAGGCCAACAATTGTGCCAAGTTTGGAAGAAAAAAGAAATCGATTGGTATGTATCACTTAGTTGCAGAACATTTCCTTCATAGTGAATTTTTCCATGACAGTTTTCGTAAATAACTGTTACGTTCGGTCCCTGATATGTATGGTTGGCAACGCCTGACCAAACCACCGTAGTAGTGATAAAGTGGTAAAAATAAGGATATTGTTGGCTTACCTACTTTCAGTGTTGGTCTTATTTAAATTGTTATTGCACTTGTGATATTTTTATTATTGTATTTCGTTTCTGTTGTTATACTTATCATTAAGTTTCTACAAGGAATAGTACATGGATATACTCTCAACTTAATGATGAAAATAAAAGTAACAAAAGCGCAAACAAATAACAAGTAAATTAAGGGATAGGCAACAACTAACGAATAAGGACAATCATGTCAAGATGCAACATGAAAACCCAAATTAAAGAAATAACAACTTGTCTTTGTGGCAACCGACGGCGATGCTTACGTAGAACGCAATAATAGCAAAAAAAGGAAACTAATAACAAGAAGTACCGATGATAATAGCATTGAATAGTCATAGCAAGCTTCAGCTTTGTCAAAACTTAAAATTTCTATAAGCTGCACGGTGAAAAGTGTCGCTCGCTGTCGACAATGTTCATGCACTCATAGACACAAAGCCCAGCAGCAAAATTTCGAGACAGTCTGGCAAAGCGCTAGTTCCGCCCTACAAATTTCAACTGTCTCTCAGCTGCTGCAACAGAGAAAGAAGCGGTTTTTCATTGCAGAATACACTCGGAGGTTTGTCATTGCTTTCCGAGGCGTGGCCACTATTAGAAAAAACTACATATTTTTTTATTTTTTTTTATTTTAACTTTGGTCAGAAACTGGGCTTAAACCTCGGCCTTGCGGAATGGTAGCGCGCACTGCTAACCACTACACCACGGCGGTGCATATACATATATGTGTACAATAAAGTGGTTTTTGTGATATATGTATGTACCAATTAAATTTTGTGTCTACTTTATTGGCAATTGTATAAATTATGCATACGAATTGGTTGTAAGGGCCTGCTGCGTCCGAGTGTTCGACACAAAGGCTACGAGTGCGAGTTAAAGAGGGAAACGTGTAGAATATTTAGCATTCATTACAAATGATTCAATCAGCTTTTTTAAAACTTTAAAGAGCAAAAGACCAAAAGATAATCACGTAGTCCGATGTTTCAAAATACCATGCCCGTGGAGTTGCAGTCCATCTTTCTTTAGTTTGCTTAAATGAGATTATTGATGATTATTTTCTACATCAGAGTACGCTAGTACTTAGTACGCCAAAAAATCAAATTGTAAAAAAAATACAGTTGAAAGCCAATATCTTGGTATTATTATTTTTTAAACCTCAAAGAAAAGGTACTTTGCACAGTCATTACAATCGGTGGACTGTAAATTGCAGCTTTTGAAATATGAAGGACTTTTAGTTGGACTACTTGTTTTTATAAGTAGAAGTTTATTATGAATATTTTGAGTAAACAAGTCTAGAAAAAAGCCACGAAATTAACCCTAAAGTTCTTAGGCTATGGCATAAAAATGAATGTCTCAAAAGGGCTAACCTGGTCACGTTGGTTAAAAGATCAATTGGGATCGCTGATTACTGATCTGAAGTTAGATTTAAAAATTCAAAATTGCGGATATATGTAGGAACTACCAATTATCGCGGAAATTATAAAATAGAACGTGCGTCCATGGCGTATGAGTAATATTCTCATCTTATCTGAGTAACTCATACGCCGTGTATGTTTATCAAAACCACTTTTTAAAAATATTTTAATGTTTTATTATAAATACAATGGTTTTTTTCGTAAAAAAAAAATAAAAAACAAAAAACAATTGGTTTCCTTGCTCAAAATTATAATAATTTTACTACAAATGTTTGCTTTTTGTGGTCTCTGATAAAACCAGTAAATAGTGCCGATGAATGGCAATCAGTTATTCGTATTGGCTGCGCATTCTACACTTGAAGCCTTTTGTGTTGCGGTAAGAAGTACAATGGCCTGGTAAGTACGTATTTAAGCAAAAGCTGTGGTAGTCACTGCCCGGAAAAGAGAGCAGCATACCAAGAAAAGCGAAAGTAAAGTAATTCCGAAGAAGAACAAATACTTGGAATGTTTTTCTTCTACGGCAAAGCCGCTACATATTTTAACTTACTTAGAGCTCCTAAGCGCTGAGCTTTGCAGAAAACCTTACCGTTCATGCAACCGCACGAGATAGTGTGTACGGTTACATACATATGTACGTCTTTAAGTGCCAACTAACCAACAAACAAGCAAGCACAAAATTAACGGTATGTAGTACTTCAATATATACATACACAACTATTTATCCATTGTATATGCCTTAGGCTTGTGTATCTAATAATCTTTTCTTCCAGAAGTCACTACTTAAAAGCCATTCACAAGAATCGTTTTACAGATCTGCTGCCGTATGCATATCCGCATATATAGTGACATCTTTCTATTGCTGTATGCTTTATGCTTTTAAGCTTACACCTGATTGTTCGGTCTATGTCCATATGTGTGACATCCATGTTACAATAGTTGCATACCAAT